GACAAATGAGTTGTTCCCTGTCAGACGTATACAGACAGCAGAGACTGAGCTTTATCAAATTGGACCCCCAAGAGGCCATAGTCATTGTAAAACATGGGGGAAACCTGTGCCTTTCTTGGTAGACAATGGAAAAGAACCCTGACTTAAAAATTAAAAGTCTGTCAAAAAGATACCGTCATTGGGGCAACTGGAACTTACCTCCTGCTCCTTCTGCCAGGTACAAACTTGCAGCCTGGGAGGAAATCTCCTGTGCACCAGGCCAGATAGCCTCCCCTTCATTTAGTCCCACACTTTCAGCTTTGATTTCCTCAAGAAAAAGATGAAGCCTGCATCAGCCCAAGATAACTGCAGTCCTGAAGTTCTAAAAACTCTCAGTGCTGTGAACTAAAGACTTGCCTCTGCACCTGGCCATCCACCCATGCATTACCCTGATAAACAGGTGCAAGACATTCGTTCCATGAACAATGCAGCCATCATGGTGCACGCTGTAGTTTATGACCTATACACAATTTTTGGACTGTTTCAAATTTAAAAGATGCCGCCTTCTGCTTGTGAGTTGCTCCCATAAAACCCTTTCACCTGCGAAAATCCTGAGAAAAAAGGCAGCCAGTTTGGCCTAAATTATTAAGAGGTTAAAACTCTCCCACCATAGCTCCACACATGTGTCCTTCACAACAATAAAGCCATTTTAGACATTGACACAAACCACAAGTTTGTCTGAAAAGATCTCAGATTCAGCCCTTGCAAAGGAAAAAGCTTTGTCCTGTTTTGCCAAAAGACTCCAATTCCGACCTCTCTCCTCCTTATATTCATTAACCCCGAACTGCTCAGCTGCCAGCAACGTCGACACTATCAGTTCTTTCTCCTGCACACAACCTTCTGCTCTACCGTCAGTGTCTCCTGACTATTCAATGCTGAAGAACGCTGCAGTGTTTTAGATGAGGCTGAAGCCCAGTTAAAGTCAGAAGTCCCTGCCACGATGGTTGTCCTGATGCTTGGGTGAAAACAGTCCTCCCGCAGTGTGTCCAAACTAGGACTGTAATGAGACAGAGGGCTATGCAGTCTTAGATCAGTACCACTCTTCTCTCCTGTCAGACCTCAAAGAGGGAGGCAGAAAGCCAATAAATATGTCTAAATTTACTGAAGTCACCCACTAGAGCCCCCACTGGAAAGAAATTCTACCGAAGCAGATCCTGTGAGATTGATGGACATTATCAAACATGAATTCCTGGACATGTTTGAGTGCCCTGGACATCTCTTGGGATGTGACAAGCCTCCCTCAGACTTGGCTCCACTGTCCTACACTTGATATTGACCCTGACTGTATCCAGGGAAGATGAATGGCACCTGCATCAGCTTTAACTGCCTATAGTCATAACCCTGAGATACTGAGACTCATTTCCAGAAGTGTGGACAAGGACACACCCTTGACATGTGCCATTAATCATGGCTCTTTGATGATCAAGCTCTATCCCAGGGCAAATGTCATATGCATAATATTAGACTTCTCCAGCTTGTAAGACTAGTTCAAGATTAAGTTGCCAGTGCCACAGCAGTCACCCTCTGTATATGGTGCCTTACTCTTCTGCCACTCACAGCCTGCTAAAAAATCAAATAGTGACATCGCCTTGGCTCCTGTCAGTCAGCCCCTCTTCCCTTTTTTTTGGTACCAAGGATTGAACTCATGACCCCGCACTTGCCAGTCAGGTGCTTTGGCACTGAGCTAAATTCCTGGCCCTCTCTATTCACTTTTAAATGGAAAGACCCAAGTTCTAGACTCAAAAGCCAGCTAACATGGACTCACCCTCCCAGAAGCTCCAAAACTGGTTTCTTCTTTGAAAAAGCACTTCTATTTAATGATACTCAAGCTGCCTGCTGAAAAGACACAAAAGCCCTACCACAGTACTCATACTGATCTGTTCATACACTACTAAAGCCTGAGAACAGAGTTTGCTTCATACCCATCCCACTGAATTTTGTGTTTTTCAGGAAGCACGCCCCAGTCCTTGCTTTCCTGCTGGCTGTGGGTTTTGTTACTCACATGTATTCTGCTTATCCTAGTCCTTGCTTTCCCATCAGCGGCTTGCTGTTTTTCTTTTTCTTAAACTCCTGGAAAGGTTGCCCCAAGAGAATAGATCAATCAAACCCTTCATCAAGATGTAATAAGCGTGCAAAACACTGAACACTCTCCTCTATCAGATTAACTCCCTCACTACCTTACAGGACAGACCTAAATTCTAATTCTAATTGGGGCCTGTCTCAGAAGATCACATGTAATATTACCAGCAAAGATTTGTCAGGGGGATTACAAGAGGAGGGAGAATACAGCAGAGTGTCCCCCCCCCCCCCAGTATACTTCAGTTTGTTTATTGCCTGGGTAATAGTTCCTGATCCAGATTTGATTACTCCTGCCTCTTAGAAAACAGCTGCTAACTCTGATACCTAGGCAGTCACTATGATTCACCTTGTATAAACCAATCCCCAATTGACAAGCTATTCTGCCTGTTGTCTCTGCTTATTTCATGTAAGTCATTGACCACCAGAGATCAGGGCCTGATGTTTTGGGAGGATCAGTGCCTGTCAACATAAGTGAATCTGCCTCCGATCCTGGTGTTTTTTGGTGTTCTGCTTTGCTGTTGCCCGTGGGTTTTCATTGTCTTACTATGTTTTGTACAGACTGATAAGCCTGTCAGGGCAAAGTGGTTTCTTCTCAATTCTAATGGCCAAATAGTTGAAGATTTTGCAGGTTTACTTTTTCATAGATATGAAAGGAGTCACATTTTTCTCCAGAAACAACACACGTGTTTTCTGGAATTGGAATAAAGTTGGTGGTGTGTAAAATGTGGAGTGTCCAGAGTAGAGGATGTGGCTGTGGAGTGCGCCATGTGGTCCTTCACGTTTTCAGTTGTGTCTCACAACCCCACTGCCTTTGCCTGATAGCTCAGACTAGGTCATGGATCTTGTCTTCTATTTGATACTTTCTCTTATTCATGTTTTCCTCTAATTTCTTACATGTTCTTTACTTGGTATATAAATTCTTTTTGCATACACTACATGTATATATTCATTTCTTGACCCTACTACCTCCTAGGCTTTACATAGATTTCTATTTCTCCCTCTAGTTCTTATAGCTTCATGATTTTCTTCAGGGAAATCACCTTTTTTTATTTCAAAAGATATTTGACTGTAAATTCTCAGTGTTCAAGTTTGTCCTTCCCTTTTTAAGAGCTAACTTAAACACAATACAAGGCATAAAATATCTGTTTCTCCCTGGCTGCTATATTAAATACATTATGACTTGTGTCATTTTGTGACATTAGAGCTCTATAATGAATCAGTATTCTTTTATGGCATGTGTCTACGTGTCTCTCCAAACCCTTATGCACTCTAAACTGAGGATTTTCAGACAAGACAGGATCTAAAATGTGATGCTGGAATTTGATTCAGGGTGCAAAGCTAAGATTAAAGTTGTAAATGCTACTACCGTGAATAAAATATAAGGGACAGAACAGGGTTTTTGTTTTGTTTTGTTTTTTTACTTCATACTGTTCTGCTAGCTTCTGTCTGTCTTGGGCTATTTTTCCTCTATGATGCACCTGTGCCAGGCCACCCTACCCTAATCCCATCGTGCACTGAAATTTCTATAAATATGAGCCAAAATAACCCTTACCTCCCTTAACTTTAGGTGCTGGGTATTTTGTCTCAGCAGTGAGGAAAAAGTAACTAAGGTATATTCTATTTACATGTGAACATATTAAAAGACTGTCTTACTTTTCTTTAGTTTGTCATTCGTTCAACTAAGAGATCACTGCCTTTCAGAGTGGATTTTGAAACTGTATCTTAAGCTTAAAGAAACACATTTGCATATATATTTGGTACTGAGAAGATTTTTTTCTTTCATTTTTAGTGCCTGTTAAGTTTGCAAAGTATTTGTGGTCAGTATATCTCATATATATTTTCATTATATCCACCCATCAGTTTCTCTCCCCTATGCCACCTTTTAACTCATTGAGCTACGTGATAATATAGTTTCCTTAACATAAATTAATAGTTCTTAAAATTCTCCAATAGGAAGTATAATTGTTTTCATTAGCCTTACAAATTATCACTTGATGGTCAAAAAAGCCTTTGGCTACTAAAGCAAGATGAAGTTTCAAAATATTATCTAAATAGAATCAGAGAAGGAAAGAATCAATTCCCTAAATAACAAGTTGAGAAAAAAAGTTATTTTCTTTCATCCCTCATAGTAATTGATCAGTTAGTTATCTACTTACTTTTTTCACATAGATTCTGATTTGTATGATATTCTTATAACCCATGCGTTAGTTGTGGGTTATAGTTAGTGGGTTTAGTTAGTGACTTTAGTTGTACAAGTAAATCTGAGTTTAAACAGTAAGAGAAGCAGTGTTCTCATTCCACTGTTGGCTCAGTACTGAATTCCAAGATAGCACCAAACTTCCTGTGTGACAAGTGCAAATGGATGAAGAATAAGAGTTTGATAACCAAGACATGAAATAAACGTTTGGAAAACTAAGCCTTATACATATTTTTATAAGTAGAGTTGAGAAGGTTCATAGTTGTATGTCACTCTTCTTCCTGGAAATCCATGTCTGATGCAGGAGGCGGTGACCTTCAAGGACGTGGCTGTGAACTTCACCAGGGAGGAGTGGGCTTTGCTGGATCTTTCCCAAAAGAAGCTCTACAGAGCTGTGATGCTGGAAACCTTTAGGAACCTGGCTGCCATAGGTAAGAAACATATCATTTTGTCATTCATGCCACGGGAGAGCATTGCTTGGTGCTCACCAGTGCAGTTTCCTTAATGGAAAGATGGAGACATTCTAAGGTATCTGCCATGTATGGTCACAGCATGAATCTGACTAGAATCTACTGATCTGTATGCAGTAAGTCATTATTTTTCTGTTTCTAACTTTAGGAGGGATGACAGATGACCAGCAAATTGAAGATGAGTGCAGAAATTGCAGGAAACATCTACGGTAATTTGTACTCAGAGAAGAAATTTCCTCTAGTATCAGAATATTAAACTCAAGGAAACTACACAAAAAAAACCATGTTGGCCAGGCATGGTGGTGCATACCTGTAATCCCAGCACCCGGGAGGCTGAGGCAGGAGGATCGTTGCGAGTTTGAGACCAGCCTGGGCTACAAAATGAGTTTAAGGCCAGCCTGAACTGCATAGCGAGACTCTGTCTCAAAAAAAAAAAAAAAAAAAAAAAAGAAGTTAAAACTTCTTTAATCTTACAAAATTTCTCAATTGACATATATTTCTAATCTCCCAATTGAGTATTTGAAATATTCCAAGATTTGAAATGTAGGTAGTACTCATATTGTGCCAAAACTAATATCCTTGAGGTAATGTAAAAAATAAATAGCTGATGAGTTGATGCCCACCTGTAATCCCAGCACTCTAGAGGCTGAGACAGGAAAATTGTCAGAAGTTCTAGGCCAGATGGGGCCACACACTAAATTCAAAGCCAAACTTAACTACAGAGTGAGGCCTGTCAAGAATTAAAAAAATAAAAAGGCACAAATTTTGATCTATGCTCAGATTTATAGACATTCCAAATGAAATTGCATTCATGTATTGATGATAAGAGGATATAAAAAATTGTGTATACAATGAGAGTTATCTTTAATTTTATATACATTTTTAAATCATCAAATTATGTATGACATTATATGTAGTTAAATTTGAAGTGCACATTCAGTGTGGAAAAATTGGCTGTATTGTGAATGTATTCAGACTCCAAATGGATATCACTGTTTTGATCTGATTTATATCAAGCAACACTCCATACACACAGTCTGATCATATCCCAAAGTATTGGAACGCACATCCCCATGTTATTGTTGGGACTCTCAGTGTGTTATAACATCTATGGAAATGAGTATAGAGATTCCACTAAAATGGAAAAAAAAGAAATTCTTTTTAACTAACTATACTTCTTTTTTGAGACAAGGTCTCACTGTGTAGCCCAGGCTGGTCACTCACAGTGGTCCTCTTGCTGCAACATCCCAAGTGCTGAATTACAGCTCTGTGCCACTACACTCAACAGGATCCAACTATAATTTTACTGCATAAATTCTTAAAGTGTTATGTAATCAAAAACCATTTGTAGCAGCAAACCTAAAAATTCTAACATTTGGAAAACTCTTAAATCCCCATAAACAGATGACCAGGTTAAGAAAATATAGCACAGGCATACAAAGGCATGCTGGCAATCTTAGAATTCTACAAAACAGAAGTGGGGAGATCATGCATTTATGCTCATCCTGAGCATCTTAATGATTGATGAGAGTGTTTCAAAATAAAAATAATAAAATGCATGGATGTATCTCACTGCTAATCCCCTCAGTTCAAATTCCAGCGCTGAAAACATGTTATATGTACACATAATGGGATAGTATTCATCCATAGAAGGATAAAGTGATGGCATTTGCCAAAATATGAATGTACCTAGAGACCATAATGTTAGATTAAGTCAGTCAAACAGACATTTCAACATTGCAAGTTACATTTTTCATTAGAATCCTACAACATGAATTTAGGAGTAAATAGAGGAGAGGTGGTGGCAAAGGAGAGACAGCCACTGTGAAGCGGGTGAAGAGGCTCAGTGGAAGGGGAGGGGATGGAGTCATGGAGGAAGAGGCATCAAAGATCGTCAATACATGGAACAAGTCTCATCAAGATGTTCCAATTGCTCAAAATTAGAGTAAGTATGGTGCATTGCAAATGGTCGATTGCAAACTGCTAAATGAATCCTACTGTTTGGGTAAAATCTGTGTCTAAGCTATCATGTACACTGTATAGTAAGTGAATGATTAAATAATCTTAGGGGGGCCTCAAAGCAGATCTCCTCAAGAAAATCATTACTGAAAACCACTATGAAATGTGATTGGTTGTTTTCTTTTATTTTTCTTTTCTTTTCTTTTCTTTCTTTTTTTTTTTCTTTTTTTTTGTATTAGGGATTGAACTCACAACCTTGAACTTGCAAGGTAGGCAGTTAGGCCACTGAGTTGAATACCCAGCCCTGATTGGTTGTTTTTTGATTCTGCCTTTTTATAGAAGTGAAGAGGAAAAGCAATCCTGTGAATATAAACTACAGCATCAACTTGGTGAAATGGCTTCTCAGACTCCAGATACAAATGTGCACATGACAGTTGCTGGTATAAAACCAGGAGAAAGCGTCTGTTCTAGCAAGCTTCTAGTTGGTCATCCATCAGCAGGTGGACCCATCATGGCTAACACTGCATTGAAACCGCATGAGCATGAGGAATTTCAAGAGAAGCTGTCTACCCATAACGAACAAGTGAAAACCTCTGCGGAAATCCAGACCTTTGAGAAATATGCGAAGACAGCTCTTAAAGAGAAACCCCACGAATACTCGCAATGTGCAAAATTTTATTCTAATTATACTGAAGAAAGTACCATGGAAGAGAAGCTAAATGTCAAATCATTTATTATACTCAATAATGTTCAAATTGGGGGAAAATGTCACAATGAAGTGAGCATGTATACATGTGTACCATGGGAAAAAGATGTTAATTCTCACTCTGTTATTCAGACATACAAAAAATCTCACTCTGGAGGAAAATCTCATGTAGGTAAATATGGAAAATGCTTCACTAAAAATTCAATGGGTAGTCATCAAAGAGTTCACATTGGTGAGAAACTCTATGTATGTAAGCACTGTGGGAAAGCTTTCAGCCGAAAAGGAAATTTGCAAATGCATGAATGGACTCACACTGGAGAGAAATTCTATGCATGTATACAGTGTGCCAAAGTTTACAGAACAAGTGGTGTTTGCAAAAATCATGAAAAGATTCACACTGGGGAGAAACCATATGCATGTAAGCAATGTGGGAAAGCATTGAACAAACATTGTAAGTGTCAAACACATGAAAAAATTAACAATAAAGAGAAACTTTATTCATGTAAGCAAGATGGCAAAGCTTGCAGGAAAAGTGATGTTTCTCAAAATCATGAACAGAATCACACAAGGGAGAAATCCTATGTGTGTAAGCAGTGTGGAAAAGCTTTTAGCACAAAAAGGAATCATCAAGCACATGAAAGGTCTCACACTGGTGAGAAACCATATGTATGTAAGCACTGTGGAAAATCTTTCATCAGAAAAGATCATTGGCAAATGCATGAACGAATTCACACTGGAGAGAAACCCTTTGTATGTAAGCAGTGTGGGAAAGCTTTCAGCAGAAAACATCATCGGCGAATACATGAACGGATTCACACTGGTGAGAAACCCTATGTATGTAAACAATGTGGGAAAGCTTTCAGCACACATCGTAAGTGTCGAATACATGAAAGAATTCACACTGGAGAGAAACCCTATGCATGTAAGCAATGTGGCAAAGCTTTCAGAACAAGTGATATTTGTCAAAATCATGAACGGACTCACACTGGGGAGAAACCCTATGTATGTAGCCAATGTGGAAAAGCTTTCAGCAGACAATATAGTTGTCAAGAACATGAAAGAACCCATAGTGGAGAGAAACCCTATGTGTGTCAGCAATGTGGGAAAGCTTTCAGATTACAGAGAAGTTGCCAAAGTCATGAAAGAACACATGCTGGGAAGAAACCTTATGTATGCTCACAATGTGGGAAAGCTTTCAGCAGCAAAGCAGGCTGGCATTTACATGAACAGACTCACACTGGGAAGAAACCCTATATGTGTTCGCAGTGTGGGAAAGCTTTCAGCAGTAAAGCTGGTTGGCAAATACATGAAAGGATTCACACTGGGAAAAAACCCTATGTGTGTATGCAGTGTGGGAAAGCTTTCAGCAGTAAAGCTGGTTGGCAAATACATGAAAGGACTCACACTGGGGAGAAACCCTATGTGTGTAAGCAATGTGGGAAAACTTTTAGCATAAAAAGTAATTGTCAAGTACATGAAAGGACTCATACTGGGGAGAAACCTTATGTATGTAACCAATGTGGGAAAGCTTTTAGCACTAAAAGGAATCATCAAGCACATGAAAGGGCTCACAGTGGTGAGAAACCCTATATATGTAAGCAATGTGGTAAAGCTTTCAGCAGAAAAGATAATTGGCAAATGCATGAACGGATTCACACTGGGGAGAAAGCCTACATATGTAGGCAATGTGGGAAAGCTTTCAGCAGAAAAGATAATTGGAGAATGCATGAACGGACTCACACTGTGGAGAAAGCTTGTGTATGTAAGCAATGTGGGAAAGGTTTTAGCAGAAAAGATAATTGGCATATGCATGAATGGCCTCACACTGGGGAGAAACCCTGTGTATGTAAGCAGTGTATGAAAGACTAAGTTTACATACAGAAGTTGTAAAACACATGTATAAACTCACACTGTAAACCTATGCATGTAACCAATGTGGGAAAGCTTTTACCAGTCAATGTAATTGTCAAAGAAATGACACTTGTGAGTAAGCCTATATATGTAACCAGTGTGGGAAAGCTTACAGAATCAATGGTCATTGTGAAAAATATGTAGCAGCACACACTATTGAAATGCTATGTATATAGCGTATAATATGTGAATACATTCAGTACACAGATGTGACATACATGAAATAATACTTGAATGTCTATAGAAACAGGAAAAACCTCTTTGTGCAGTGAGCATCATACGCACTAATAAAGGAAAACAATAATACATGAGCTGACTTAGACATGAATCAGGCTGAGGAGAAGCTTTTCTAAACAGTGAAACCTCTCAGTCCACACAAGTATCATTATATACATGAAAGAATTCATAATGAGACAACATATGTGAACAATGTGGGGTTTTTTTTAAATTCACTCTAATACATAAAAGAATTCATGATAAGGAACATTATAAATATGGAACCCTTCAATTCTTCCACTTCACTATGAAATGCATGAAAGAATACCACTAAAGAGAAATCCTGTTAAATAATGTAAGAAAGCATTGTGTGATGTCCATAACATCAGAAAACTAAATTCACGAGTATAGTTATAAATACAGAACATGAGAAATCTTCATTTTCACATTACTTTGGATAAAATATGGCATTGTCCAGTGAAGAAATTCATATCAATGTTAATTATGTGGGACCACCTGTATTCATTTTGGTTTAATTCACATGGCAAATAGTATTGCAAGAGCCCACTAATGTAAGTGTTGTGTACAAGTTGTCAGTTCTCCATGCAAGAATGCATGTTGTACCAAAACCCTGTGAATATACAAAGCTCAAGTATCTCATTCTTGAAATCCTCTGATCATTTCTCATACATGTTATATTTTAAGAGTATATTAAAATGAGAGATTAAGTGTTTATAAAATATACACTTTTATGGAGATATGCTAAAATGTAAATATTGTAAGCTGAGTCTTACAGTAGATCTTTGGATGAAATAATTTTAAATTCTCTGATGAGAAAGTGTTGTAGTGAGGAGTAGTTGTGCACACCTATAATCCCAGCACTTGGGAGGTTGAACTAGGGTTGTTATTATTATGAGTTCCAGGCCAGTCTCGACTAAATAGCAAGGCCCAATCTCAAATAAAATGAAACAACGGTGAAGAAATATTGTGATGACATCATTCTGGAGATTCTTGTAAGCAGCCTCACAGGAGTTTAATGTTGTCTCTTAAAGTACATAATAATTGTCTGTGTTTTGCACTTTGTTTGAGCCAAAGATGAAGTGAATTATGTTTCTTACATGATAGTAGGTTCATATTTTGTAGGTTATTTTTGGTGGGTTTTATTTTTTTGCATTTAGTAATTGTGTGGTAACATGAATCCAAACCTGGATTTTTCATTAACTGTTGTCATTTTTTTCTACTAGCTTGTATTCGAAGCTCTGCTGCACACAGTCCACTATTCTAGCAAGAATTTTTTAATTCAATGTCACTTTTTACAATTTTATTTCTAGTAATTTCTGTGTATGTACCTGAGTTTTCATATTTTTAAACATGTTTTTAGTATTGTAAGAAGATATCTATCCATATCCCAACATAATTACAGTTTATATTCAGTGATTAATATTTCCTGTTTTTTCTTTTCATCAGAGCCATTAATATCATGTGTGTACAGATCAGTTGTTTTTATCATTAAATTTTACTTTTCATACTCATATTGCCATGCTTTATTTGGAAGGTAATTATTCAATCGGCCATTCAAAATAAAATGTGTGTTTTTGTGAGTACCCACTGCCAGGGACAGGCAGAATCATGTATTTTCTCAAAGATTCAATGCATTGTAAAAATTCACCTCTCTAGTAGCTATAAATGTTGATATGATTTGTCTGTAAGACAAAAAAAAAAATCCATGCCACAATGAAAGCAGTGCTAAGAGGAAAAACATAAATACTATATGTCCACATCACAAAAACCGAGTGAGCACACATAATTAACCTAATAGTGCAGCTCATGTTTCTGGAAAAACAAGACAAATCCAAATCTGAAGCCCTCATGAGAAAAGGTAGTATAAAGGCAAATGCCGAAATGAATAAAGAGACAAAAATGCAAGATAGCAAAGAGCTATTTGTTTGAAAAAATAAAATAGACAATATCATAACTAATTTTACACAAAAAAGGAAAGACAAGATTCAAATCTATGCAATTTAAATTGAAAAATACAAAATCACAATGAATCTGTTAATCCACTTGGGAGCATGTGTAGTCCATAACTGTAAGTGACCACATCAGAAAAAGACTGAGTCCATATAAATAACATTGTGATGCAGCTCAGAGTTCTATACAAAGAAAAATAATCCATGTCCAAAATCAGCACAAGAAAGAAAAGTATTAGGGTCAAAATAGGTTTTAAAAAGTCATGACTAAACAATACAAGGGCTGGGGATTTAGCTTAGTGGCATAAGTGCCTGCCTTGCAAGCACGCAGTCATGAGTTCGATCCCCAGTACTGATTAAAAAAAAATAGAAAACATCTCATGTTCATATCTGTAAACAAGACTTTGACAAAATCCATTATTGAGACATGAAAAAAATCTCTAAAGAAAACAGGTATAGAATTACCTTTATCTGGTAAAAGTAATTTATAAAAAATTTGCTGGTAATATTACATTACATGGAAAAAATTGAAAGCATTTTCTCACCAATTGAGGAGACACAGAAGTCTCCTGATGGATGGTTCTGAGACTTTTGGCTGGGTAGGGCTTTGTATCTCTGGGAACTGTGAGGCTGGTTCAACCTCCCAAGTGCTGGGATTATAGGTGTGTCCTCTGTAATATATTCCTTAAGATTTTAGCCGGAGCAATTATAGAAGAGACAAATAAGAGGGATACAGATAAAAAAGGAATGAATCAAACTATCACTATTTGAATATTACATGTTTCTGTGCATGAGAGATCTAAAAAAAAATCAAAGACTCCTAAAATTAATAACAAGACTTACTACTAGAGGATGATACAAAATCAAAACACAGACTCCAACAGTATGACCAAGCTAGCTGCATGGGTGCTGGAGATTCTGAACTCTGCCCAGCCAGGAACAAAGCCGTCATGCCATAGTTTGAGGAATGCACCTCAGCTAGCCACATAGATCCTAAAGGTTTTGAACTCACCCAGTCAGGAACAAGGCCCTGGTGCCTCAGTGGATGTGCCTGAGTAGCTGCATGAGTCCCAGAGGTTCTGAAGTCTGCCAAGTCGGGCACAAGTCCTTGATGCCATGCTCTGGGGGTGTGTTCCTGCTAGCAGCATGGGTCCTGGAGGATTAGAGTTCTGCCCAGCCCAGCATCCCAGAGCAATTGGGAAAATGCCCAGCCAGCCTCACAGTTCCCAGAGGTACAAAGCCCTAACCAGCCAAAAGTCTCAGAACCATCCATCAGGAACAACCATCTGAGCCAATGGGTCCTGGAGGTTTTGAGTTCTGCCCATCACAGCACAAGGCCCCAGCACCATAGTTCAGGAGTGTGCCCCAGCTAGCCATATTGGGTATCAAAGAATCAAAGCTCCGACACCCCAATTCAATCCAACCACACAGGTCCCAGAAGAAAATAAAATAAAGCATGATGTAGTCTCAGTCCTCTAGCACACTAAGGACAAACGGAGACAGAATTGGAAGACACTGGAAAATGCACAACTGAACTTTCTGAAATGATAGCAATTGAAGCAAAGAAACAACTCCATGAAGCTATAGAGGAAATCAGATCAGAAATAATCTCCCAGGTTTAAAAAAAGTGACAAACATTATGAAAGAAATGTTGAGTGTATCTAAAGAAGACATAGATAAAAAATAGGGGAACATAAAATGATAGAAACTTTGAACAATATAAGACAGAATGCATGAAACAGATTCAAAGGGCTATACAGAAAAAAATTCCATTAAAAGCTGGAAAAACTGCTTGAATGAAGCTAAAGATAGACTCAAACTTTGATGACAGGATGAAAGCTTATGACCATAAAGAAAAGATCTCTTAAAAATAACAAGGAACCCGGAAACAATAATTCGACAGCTGTGATGCAAACAGAAACAATGTAAGATTGATAGGTGTAAACGAAAAAGCATAGGTCAACACAAATGGTATAAGAAGACCATTTGCAGAAATAATAGAAAAATTTCTAAGCATGGGAAAAGAATCTGATACACAGATAAAGTGATGCATATAGAACCCCAATTAGCCTTAACCAAAATAAATCACCAGACATAGTAATTAAGATTCCAGAAATTCAGCACAAGAATAGAGTACTAAAAGATGTCAGAAAAAGAAACACATCGCCTGTGAAGGAAAACCATCAGAACCAGCAGACTTCTCAGCACAAACTTTCAAGTCAAGAAGAGCTTGGAATGAAGTATTTCAAGTCCTGAAAGGAAACAACTTCCAACCCAGACTGATGTACCCTGCAAAATCTGAAAATTGGTGAAGAAATAAGATATGTCAATGATATAGAACTGAAGAAATTCTTGACCACCAAACCAATACTACAAAAGAGTACTAAAAGGTCCCCTAGAGAGAGATAAAGATGGCTGTAATTCCAAGAACAACCGCAGAAGGAAATCACCAAGCAGGGCAAACAGAGAGAAAACATAGAGAACCAACAACAGAAAGATAACAGGACAAAGATGAGTCAGAACCTATCAGTTATAGTCATCAACAAAAATGGTCTCAACTCACCAATAAAAAGAAACAGACTGCCAAAGTGGATTAAGAAACAACATCCAACAATATCCTGTGTACAAGAAACACACTTACTAAAAAAGATATTCATAGATTAAAAGTCAAAGGGTAGAAAACAATATTCCATGAGACCAGAACAGAACAGAAAAAATTGGAAGTATCTATTCTGTTTGCAAACAACATGAACTTCACACCAAAAATGATCAAAAGGGATCAAGAAGGTCACTACATACATGTTAGGGGAAAATTTCAAGAAGAGATTACAATAATAAGTATATGCACCAAATATAGGAGCATCAAACTGTGTAAGACAAATCTTAATAGAAACCGGGCATGGTGACTCATGCCTGTAATCCCAGCACTCATGAGGCTGAGGTGGGAGGATCGTTGTGAGTTCAAGACCAGCCTGGGCTACAAAGTGAGTTCAAGGCCAGCCTGAACCGCATAGCAAGCCCTGACTCAAAAAAGACAAAAAAAATATCTTAATAGATATGAAAAACCAAGTAAGCAATAATACAGTTATACGGGGGGACATAAACACCCACAAGGAGACAGATCAACCAAACAAAAACTTATCAAAGAAATAATAGAACTAAATCAAACTTGTGAACAAATGGACCTAGTAGATGTGTACAGTGTTCCACAGAATAACATCAGAATACATGTTCTCAGCTGAACATGGGTCATTCTCTGAAATAGATCATATAATAGCCCACAGAAAACACTTAAGTAAATGCAAAGGAATTGAAATAATCCCATGCATATTATCTGACCATCATGCAATAGAATTGGAAATTAAAAACAAAAAACCCCATAGCAACCCCATAAATTAAACAGTACTCTCCTAAATAACCAATATGTCACAGAAGAAATTAAGCAATATCTACTATCAAACAAAAATGCAAATACAATTTACCAGAACCTATGGGATACAATTAAAGCAGTTCTCAGAGGGAAAATTATTGCAGTAAATTCTCACATCAAGCAAGTGGAACGAACACAAACAACCTAATGCTGTACCTCTAACTTCTGAAAAAGAGCAAGTCAAGCCCAAAGCCCAAAGAAGGGAAAAAATTGTAAAGATCAGTGTAGAAATCAATGCAATTGAAACCAAGAAAACAATACAAAGAATGAATCAAAGAGTTGGTTCTTTGAAAGAACAAATAAAATTGATAAACCCCTAGCCAACTTCATCAAAAAAAGGAAATAAATTCAAATCCACACAACCAGAAATGAAAAGGGTGAAATCACGGCAGATCCTGTGGAAGTAAAGAAGATTGTCAATACTTACTATTAGGTTCGTTAACACAGAAGAAATAGACAGATTCCTAGAAGCATATGAATTACCAAAACTGGATTAAGAAGATGTAAAAAGGTGGAATAATCCAATTTTAGTTAATGAAATTGAAAATGTAGTTAGAACTTTTACAAACAAATAAAAGCCCAGGTCCTGATGGATTCACTACTGAATTCTACAAGAAATTTAGGGAAGACAATGCCAACACTCCTCAAACTTTTCAATGAAATTGAAAGGGAAGACATTCTCCCTAACTCATTCCTGGGGGCAAATATTACCCTAATACTGAAACCAGAGAGAGAGCCAACCAAGGAAGAGAATTACAGGCCAGCCTCCTAACGAACAGAGATGCAAAAATCCTTTATAAAATATTGGCAAAAACAATGCAGCAAATCATGAAAAGATTACACTACAATTAAGTAGGATTCACCCCAGGAATGCAGGGATGGTTCAACACATGCAAATGAATAAACACAATATACCATATCAACAGAGGCAAAGAAGAATCATGTGATCATCTCAAGAGATTAAAAAAGATTTTGCAAAATCCAACACTCATTAATGACAAAAATCCTATGAAACATCAGAATAGATAGTCTCTACCTCAATCTGTTAAAAACCATATGTGACAAACCAACAGCCAATATTTTACTAATTGGACAATAACTGAAAACTTTCAACATATAATCGGGATTAAGG